TATATATATACATGTATATATATATATATAGTGACATTTTCTACTGTAAGTAGATTAAATTTATTTGGAATGCTTTTGACAGACTACGATTTCAGTTCTAAGCTTTTTGAAAATCTTTGTTTTAAATTAATAAGTTTTACCGCGCATGTAACTCAGATAAGTCATATATAAGCGCCGAAGATTAGAGGTGTTGTTACCACACTGGAAGGTTACATACAAAGTAAAGGAGAGAGAATATTATTATAATGGATACAGTGAAAGGACGTGTTTGTTGGGAAAGAAGGAGCAAACCACACCAAAGCAACCGCCAACCACAAGCTTTGAAAATCTATATATTTTATTTTGACTTCTCCTTTTTGGCTAACATAACCACCTTTTCAGTCCACAATCTACACTTTCTTTTCATATTCCTCACCTTCACAGCGCAGTGCAAGGAAACTGAAAATACATGTATTCCAGTTGTAAACTTTTTTCACTGTCACGTTCAAGATTAAATAAAGTTAGAATTTTGATTAACACTAAAACACACAATACAGAAGCACAAACGAAGTGGACAAGAAAATGAAGACTGATCTAAGGCGCAACTTCTGTTGATATAGAAGGGAGGTTATCGTATGGATTTTTTTCTGTAATTAACCCTTATAGAATGAAAGAAGTATAGAAAAAAATACACCCAAAACAAAAATGAGCACGTGTACATGTACATCCATGAGCAATGATTACATTAAAGAGACTGGCCATTATGCACAGCTACACACACACACTACACAAGCATAATGCGAGAATACTTCACCACTCATGCCATTAAGTTTTAGGTTCATCTCACTGCAAACGAAACCAGCCTTCAGTGCTGAAGCCCTCCACGTGGGTTACTTGACCAGATCTAATGTTTTAATGTAAATAATTCTTCTTCCCCATCTACACAATTTTGATAATTTAGGAGGCGAGCTTACGACCTTGCCCGCCAGGGCCAACCCAGGCTGAGACGTATACAACATTCCAGCAGAACGACCGAGATACTCGAAACATTTCTTCTCCCTACTCCGGAATAGAACTCGGGTCTTATGCGTGCGACAGTGAAGCGCCTAACGGCTACGTACACCACAGACGCCGGTGTCTGTTTGAACAAAGCCTAGGGTTAAAGTTGTCCAAATTGAAACGGCCAATCCAGCCCGTCCTTTTTCTCTTCTTTTCAGGCCCGCTAAACTTGACCCTTTGTTACTCTGTGTATGTCAATAACATGCACATACAGACTCAAGCGAACATTCATACTGGTTTGGAAAAGCTGACAAAGCTAAAGTGTACCCCCATGCCCCCACCCAGCCCCACCCCCATCCCCAAACATACACATACG